ATATTCTTGAAAAGGCAATTTAAAATTAGTTAGCAACACAGTAATTCCTCTTGTAAATGACTGTTTCCCATCTCTGAACAAGCTGCATTCTGAAATTTTAAAAAGTCATCTCAGTGTGTTTAAAAAAAAAAAAAAAAGACAAAAAAGTATTCAGTTTGCCCAGTGTGGTGCTATTGTGATGAAATGCTTCTCATTAATTGTGGTCCACCAATGGACAGTTATTCATTTTGTCTAAAAAGACGTTTTGTTATTTCTTGGGAAAAGAACCCTAGCGCCTCTTCCTCCATAAGTACCGTTATTTGTCAGATGTCTAAATTGCCAGGAAATGAGATTATAGCAGTACTCAAAAATGTAGCACAATGATAGGTCAGTCACAGAATGTCCAACTTATGCAAGAAAGTCTTTGTTCATGATCTACCTCACTTGGTGTTACAAGTCACTGATACTTCAGGTGCCTTTTTTTTTTGGTGGTCCCTCCTATGAAACAGTTCTGCAGTATTCAAAAGTCTTAAAGTGTCATGTTCTTTCCCTCCCACTCTTTGAGCAAAACCTTTTTTTTTGTTTTTTTGCTTGTCTTTATTTCCATTTGTGCAGGCAGACTTAGATGTCTTGCTGTGACTGATGAACAGTATTAATGACACATAGATTTCAGGTCTTGCTGGGATTACCTATTCATGAAGAGGAGCACAGGTTGCCTGCGTGCCTTTTCTGTGTTGAGAATGAAAATAGGTCTTACTGAGATAAACAACCATAAAAATGACAATTTTCAGAGAATAAAAGAAGAGGATCAGAAAGAAACCAGTCTGACTTGCCACACAGCAGAAATACTTCCTTCAAAATAAATTTGATTTATATTAATTTCGGAGTTTTATTCAGAATGGATGCCAACAAAAATTGAGAAGAGGCTATTTGTATTTATTCTAAGAGTTCAAGTATCCTTAGAGTAGCAACCATTGCAGACAACATTTGTAAACATAACAGCACTAATAGCACTATTGATGCAAAATTGTCTGCATATCTCAAGTACAGTGTATTCAGTTTCTTCCAAGATGTTTTATTAGGGCGAAGCAGGAGAAATAGCCTTTGTAGTACTAAGAGGCTTTTGGAGAGAGTTTAGACAAATAGACTTCTGTTATTCATACTTGTTAATAGCAAAATCTTTGTTTTGAGCATATTGTAGCCACATAAAATGCTGCTATTCACAATAATGCACCTTGAAAATTGTTCTTGTCAGATACCTTGGCTAAGTAGGGTCAGGTCTGTTTGCAACTCGAATGATAGTATAGTACTTTACATTTATGGCACTCTCTCCAAGGACTTCAGCATAGTTGCAGGCACTAATGAATTAAGCTTCACAGTACCTGTGGGATAGAAAATATTTCCATTTACTGATAGAAAGAGGTAAGGATGCAGGAAAGTTAAAGGTGGTTTTTTTGTGTGTGTGCATGTGGATTTTTAAAGGTGATTTTAGGGAGAAGTAGATGACTTTATTCCAGTTGTGCAGTGTACAGCAGGCAGCTCTACATCATGTTTGCTTGTTCATAAGTTTCCTGACAAACCTCTCGTGTTTGCTGTATTGTGAGTTAAAAAGCACATAGAATGATAGAATTTTCACTAAAATGCCATTATCTTTTTTCATTATTTTTGTCTTTTTTTTCTCAGTTCTGTATTTTCATGTAGAAAATTTTTGCAGTCTCCAGGTGTTTTTAGTTTCAGTCAACAGAAGATCCTTGAATGGATTTATATAAATAAATGTGAAAGCATGTGCAGCCATTGCTTAAATATTTCCATGGATAACAGCTTTTTTGCAAAAGAGTAAGTGCTTAGTATTGTGCATGCTGCCCATTGAAAGCGATCAGTGTTTGGCACCTATGGCCTACTGATAGTTTGACCAACTTGTAAGTAGGCACAGTGCCATCTTAACAGATGGATATGAATATAGACAGCCAAGAAACCATGTATGTGTATCTAGTGTATTTGTTAAGGGCAGGGTTCCCAGCTGGGGATGTTCAAACTTATGTCCATTTTGAATTTTTGCTTTTATGGATAAAGGGAAATTGTCATAATTTATTTTTTTTTACCTAAATACCTTCAGGGATACAATTATTGACCACGTTACAGAAAAAAGGGAAGGGGAAAAAAAAAAAGAGAGAAACACCAGCTCCTTCTTTAATACTCTTGAGAAGCTATTTTAGGTAAATTTAATTCCCTTTTAAGCGAGGCTGCTATCAAGAGAGTCACTGTGAATGTCAAAGATGTGAAGTGTTATCAATAGTTTTATTTCACTGGCTTGCTAGCTTTCTTGAAAAAGAAGCTGCAAATTTTTCTTCTACTGGGCAGGAGTCTGTCCAGCATTCAGGCACCTAAGTGCATCTGTCCAGGCATCACTGGAATTATTTGTAGTAACTCAGAGGTTAAGGGATGCAATCCTTCAAGCCTTCTTCATGTCTCTTATATTGTTCTTAGCTTGAGGACAGTATGCTTATTTTGTATATGTTTTTGTACCCTTTAGATGACAGTGGGTGTGATCGTAGAATCATAGAATCGTCAAGGTTGGAAAAGACCCTTGAGATCATCGAGTCCAACCGTTAACCTAATGCTGCCAAGTCCATCACTATACCATGTCCTCGAGCACCACATCTATCCGTCCTTTAAATACCTCCAGGGATGGAGACTCAACC